ACTCTGTAAGGAATTCTACATTAACAGTTTTTTCTTGAAGTACTTCAAAGATGCTGTCCCTTCACAGGGACAGAAACTTGCTGTCATCCTTATCTTTGTTCTTTTATATGTAATATCTTTATTCTCTAGCTACTTTCAAGATTTTTCTCTTTATCACTGGCTTTAAGCAACATGATTATGATGTGCCTTAGTGTGGTTTCTTCGTATTTCTTGTGCTTAGGATTATCAAGCTTCTTAGATCTGTGTGTTCAGTTCTCACTACATTTGGAAATTTTTCAACCATTGTTTCTTCACGTATATTTTGTCCCTCCCTTTAGAGACTCCAAAGTCATGTGCAGTAAATAACAACTGTAGGTGTCCCATAACTCACTAATGCTCTGCTCATTTTTAAAACTCTTTTCTTTCCATTCTTTTTTGATAGTTTCTATTGCTATGGCTTCATATCCACTAATCTTTTCTTCTGCTATGCCTAATCAGATGTAAATCACATGTAGACATAGTTTTCACATTTAGAAATTCAATCTGTGTATCTTTCATATTTTCAATGTCTCTCCTTGCCCTTCTCATGCTTTCCTCTACCTCTGGGACATATGGAATACAGTTACAGTAACTGTCTTAACTCCTCATCTCCTAATTTTTTTATCTATGTTATTTTGGGGGACTGTTCCAATTGACTGGTTTTTCTCATCATTATAGGTCATATTTTCTGCCTCTGCATTCTTGCTAGTTTTTGATTTGTTACAAGACATTGTGAATTTTACCTGGTTGGGTGGTTATTCGTATATTCCTTAAAGAATTCTTGAATTTTGTTCTGTGACACAGTTAAATTACTTGGAAATAGTTTGATGCTTCAGGCTTTTAAGTTCTGTTTGGTAGAGCAACCATTAGTCTAGGGTAATTTTACTTCACTTGAAGCAACACCTTTCTGAGTACTATACACATTGTCCAGTATATTACAAGGCTTTGTAGTGAGAACATGAACTATTCCTGACCCTATATGAACACTAGGGATTGTTCTCCTGTGCCTTTGTCACAGTTCTTTCCCTGTTTTCAGTTAGTATCCTCACAGGCGTGAGAAGATTAGTGCTCAGCTGAAGACTTGAAGGGGGACCAACTACAGATCTCCAAAGCCTCTGTGTTCAGCTTTCCTGTCCAGTACTCTCCCTTGCAAATCCTAGGCTTTGGCCTCCCCAAATTCACAATTCCATCTCCTCAGCTCAGGAAGACCACTGACGTCTACTTAGGTTACCTCTGCCTACATTGCAACCTGGCAACTCCGGGTAGCAGCTCCAGACAGCAAACTGGGTGATCAAAAGGTTCATCCCATTTGTGTTCCTTCTCTTGGGGATCACTGTCCTGTGTGGCCTGCTGTCCAATGTCCAATGCCCACTTTATATGTTTTGTCAGGGTTTTTTTTAACTTAAGGTAGGAAAGCATATTCTGTTCCTGTTTTTCTTTTAATTGACCGCTACAGATAATCTAGAGGGGAAAAAAAAAAGCCTATACCTTCAAATGTTTAAGATCTAACACAGAAAAGACCCACTTTTCCTAACAGTGGAAATTTTACAATAGAAACAGAATCCCATTTGCCTAATCCCATTTGACAACTGTATGATTACCAAGCAAGAAAGGAACTTTCTTGAAAGATTTCTTAAATTCAGATTTACTGTAAACAAATTCTCCCTGTTTACCACCGCAAGTAGTAATGACATCACATGCCTGCCTCACCCTCTGAATTCTCTTAATACGGCAGTTCTGCTAGATGCTGCAGGAGGAACACTGTAGCCTTAGTCCTTCCCGTTGGCACAGATGATGCTTCACAACAACACAATACGATGTCTCAGAGCCTAAAATGACTGTAAGGAGCCTTGCTAAACAAAAGTCTTTATACTGCAGAACATAACAAGAAGCAAATTGATTTCCAAGGAGCACTCTGTTGCACAGAAGAGTTCTAAATTATTTCTGAAAGAGAAGCCCCATCTGAAATTGATGACACTCTTGTGCCAAGATGGCAATGTTCTTTTCAAGCAAATCCTCCCTTTAAGACAGAAATGGTAGCACACATGTAAGGTAATGCCTGTAAGCAGATTCAGAGAGATCACAAAAGTTGTTTTCCTTCCACAGTTTCATACAGGACATTTTCTATATGTACATCAACTTAATCACCAGTGTAAGCTGGGCTCAGCTTATTTTGTAAAAGGTGAACAGAAACAATACATGTCAAGAAGATGCCAAAAAGCATTCGGGAGTCTTCTTCGCTTTCCTTATAATTTTCATTTGTCCAACAATTTACCATTTCTAGTTACAAACTGTTTTCCAGAAATGGGATGGAAAGTATATTGGGGTTGGGGGAAATGTCCTGTCGGGCAAGTAGGGCCAGAATGAGACCCAACTAGGAAATACTCAAAGGCTGTCTTCAGGAGCTCTGTACCTCACATGACCTTCTGGTTCCTTCTGTGCTTCCCCTGTCCCCTCCTCCAAGACCTAATCGCCCTCCCCAGATCTAGGCATCTCCTGAACAGTGCCCCATGCTTTGTACCAGGGCTACTCAAAGTATGGTCTGTTACCAATCCACAAAGTGATAAGTAGAAATTGAGGGTAAGCATTTGGAAACTTGTATAGAAATTGACAAAGTCATTTTAAATCAGTTGAATGTAATAACAACAAACTAGAGCTTGTGTTTTATACTTTCATTTTCTAGTAGTTTACCTTTATTATATTTTATAAAAGTAACTGTCTATAATAATTTGGAAATTAAAAAAGAAGAAACCTGATCCTTCCCCACAGATAGTTTGAGAAGCACTGCTCTCTAGTTTTCCCTTCTCCCCATCAAAATTAGTACCAATGTCCAAGAGTATGTGGGAGTGTTAGAGAGGAAATACGTAAAGGCTGGAGAAGGAAAGGTCAACTGGCCCCAGAGCAGGAGGCAGCCTGGGACCCACGCTGCCACAGGGTCTACACTGAGTCTGGCTTCAGGAACTGCTTCTCTGATGTAAAACAGAGCAGCACAAGACGAGCTCACAGGTTCCTGTTGTTTCAAAAAGGAAGCTCTAAGATTAGATAAAAGTTAGCTTAATAAGGCCCTCTGTGATGCCAAAATGAAGGTATTTGTAAGGATTAGTTGAGGATTAAAACCTGGATATACATATTTCAGGAAAAAAAAAACAAGTAACCTAAAGGCCCAACACAAGTAAATAACTACAAAAAGCAACCAATACCTGGTATAGCAGCTGGATTAAAAGCCAGGTAGGTAGTAAACTGAACAACAGGAAAACTACATAAAACTTAAAAATGTGCACAAAATAACACATCTGGAGTCAATGTAGCAATGTTAATAATGGAACAAAAAAGGAATGTATATTAAGTAAAGGCCCATTAATAGAGAAATGGTTGAACAATTTAGACAGTATCTTCACTCAAAGATTGAGTTAGATCTGTTCTAGTTGACCTAGAGGCATTTCACAGCTTTTGGGAAAGTAAAAAACAAGATACAGGGAAATATTTGTATACAGTGTCCCAATTTTTAAAGAATGGGTTCAAAAAGCCCAGCTGTGTATATTGGAAGTAAGGTATTATTTTTAAAAGATTACCAGAGGTTAGAAGATGGTATGAAGTTCACCTTCCAGTTAAAATGAGTTATGTGGTATTGGGGTGGAAGAGTCAAGCAAAAAATAAGGTCAGAGCAAGCCTCTTCCAAAGTATCCATAATTTTTAATGTAAGATGTTACGCCATTTATGTAAAATTATATATATGAGTGTGCATGTATATTTCTCTCTATATATACAAATCTATTATCTACCTACCTATCTGTATTTATCTACCTATCTCTATATTCATCTATAGAGAGCTCTCTGTCTCCCTATCGAGAGCTGTTAAAGAATGGCCACCAAAATTATGGTGATTATCTTACATGAGGGTGGGAGAGATTCCTGGTGATTTTTATTTTATTCTTTGTATGGTTTTCTTTTGTTTGAATGTGTACAATAACCAGATATCATTTATATAATAAGAAAAACCAGCAATGTTACGACATACCTATATCTTAGACCCCTTCCCTGTTTCCCACCTCTAAGTCCTATGTTTCCGTTCCTCCTTGACCCCCCTACCCCAGGTTAGTTCAGGCTCTCCTTGTCCCTGATGACTCTGACTGGGACCCCTGCCTCAGTCTCTCCCCTCTCCAGTTAGTGCTCCACAGGGAAGCCAGAGTGACCTCTGCCCGTGATACTCCTCCATCTCTTCTAGGGCTGCTCAATGCCCCAAGCAGCTGTCTCAGCCCAAGGTGTGCAGTGTCATCTGCAGTGCCGCATTTCATAACCTATCCATCTCCCTCTGCTTTTGCACTGCATGACTTGCCGCTCCTGGCTAGACCATGTCCTTTCTTCCTCCAAGTCCACTCCTGCCCAGCTAACATCTGCCCATCCCTGAAGATTCATGCAAACATCCTATCCTCCAACCACTCCAGCATCTCTCCTGTTTTCTCATAATACTTTGTACATGTTCTATTATAGCACTGAGACCATTCTTCTTAGCGATTTATTCTCTCTCTCCCTCCCTACACTATGAGCTATTTGAGGGCAGAACTGTATCTTCAATATCTTTACCAAATGAATGAATAAATGAAGTGAATGAATGAATGAATCTGTGAAAGCAGAACCCAAAACAGTGAATATAAATACCTGTTAATTGTATAATGTCTGTATAAACAACTGAAAAAAAGGCTGAAAGGGAAATATTTTAAAGTTCATTTTTATCTTTCCCAGCAGTAGCTTGAGACACTTTTTTAAATTACTGTCAACAGTTCAGCCAATGAATAATTTATATTAAAGTTACCAAAAGTTAACTACAGTTTAAATCCCTATAAAATGAAACAGATCAGTCAGAAGGAAAGCTGTTTTCCCTTTTTAAATAAAATAAGTTTAATACTCTTCTCAACACCATGCCGGTTCTAGAAACAGCATCTCTCCCCCATAAAACACAGTACAGCTGTGTGGCTACTTACTGGAGTTGAGGAGGATCATGGCCTTGACACAGAGATACTCTTTGTGTTGGAGTTTTAACTCACGAAACCTTGATGTCGTTGCCAGGAGCATGTCAAAGATTTCCAGAATTCCTTCTACGCATTTCCCCTCGTCCCTACAAAAGTTCATTTGGAAATTTAGGGAACACACAGTTCTAGACAACCATCAAAAGCAGTAAGTATTTTCTTTTTTATCTCAAAGGTCATCTTGTACATCCTTTAACTATAATGAGGTTGTCATTAGACCACATCCAGCAACTAAAAATTACTAGAGTTATCTTCATATAAAAAGGACAGGGCACTTCCTATAAATCCCTAAAGCAAACATTTGAATAAATACTATTTAGGCAAAAGTGTGCATTGGAAATACATTTTCCTTCTACCTGTTTACCAAATGTCTTCTTAATGGAATACCATTTCTGTTGATTATTTTCAGTTTAAACCATTTCAGCCAACCAGCCCTAAATATTAGCTACTACTAAAATACAACATTTCATGTTCCCATCAGAAGACTCTGAAGTGTTAAAGAGCAAGACTGGATGTTACAGAAGCAAATATCCCAGGAAGAAATAATCCCTCTTATCTTGGACTTAACTCTTACTTCCTGGGTATCATTCAGAAACAGAAGGAGCAACTAAGAGACATTAAATGTAATTTGTAAAAAAGCTAATATGACATACAAAAAAAGTACAATTAGAGAAGGTGGATTAGAATCAGAAAAGGCAGAAATGGAGACTTGCCAAATATTATTTTTAAGCAAGTTTTAAATAAACTTTGAACCACCCAAATTCTTTTGAGCAGTCCTTATAGATGTAAGTTTTTCAGTATACTTATGAAGCAAATTACTGTATCTAGAAAATACCAGCTTTAATTCACTCCAGCCAGACACACATTTTTCCACCTCACTGCTCTCAAAAACCTTCTCTCGTCATCATAGTGTTATTGGAAGTCCTTGACAGGCAATTAGATGATTTTTGCCACCAAACTTTAATTTGCTTCTAAAAGCCTGCAGTGCATGGCAAAGAGCAGACATGGCAGTAGTGGGTTTCTGAGGGTTTAATTTTTAGTTTTCATTGCAGCCCTTGAGGAGGACATAAAATCTTTAAAAAACTAGTTGTTCCTTCTTCCCTCAACCCCAAGGCAAGACATTTCCTGTGATGACTGTGGTTAGGGAAAGGACCTATGTAGAATTCAAAGAACTGACCCCAGTGGGAACCGCCAATCCTGGTGAAGCCTTTCCCACTGGTGCTTTGTGAGGACAGCACTCATCAGGATCCGGCATTCCACAGCAAACTCACCTACACTAAGCTACACACATGCAAAGTACTCACTTTGGCACGTGTGCATGGCAACTTCTGCAACCAGTTGAGGCTTTCTGAAAGTGCACAGGCTAACTGATAAAACACCAGTGCCCCTAGAAGACACTCATATGGAAAGGCCACCTCGGAGCATCAGAGTACTGAAATCTGTAGGAAACCTCCAACACCTCCCCTCTCCCAACCAAAGCCCCATCCTCCCATTTCCCTGTCCTGGGCTTTCACAGGCAGCCTGCAAACATCCAGTAAGGACTATGCATACCCTGCATATAGCAGATGCACAGGAAATACCTGTCCATTGAATTCCCATCATGCCACACCATCAAATCACTCTGCATGAGTACAATTAATTATTGGAAATTGTAATTGCAGGATTGGAAGACATTTGATACTGAGAAAAGCTTGTTTTAAAATATCTCTGGGGGCAAAAACAAAAAATCCATCAAGTCCTACACTGATAGTTTAATACTTTGGTTCTCTAGTCTTCTGTGAGACTCAGACAGAGGTGGAGTCATGCACACACACACACACACACACATAAGACACACCTTCCCAACTAGCACAATAAGGGCACTCATCTGAAATCAACCCTTTTTTGCAGAAGCTGCCACCTGTGCCGAGAACATGTCCCTAAATACTGAAATTAGTGCCATTTCTCCATTAAAATGCATCTATTTTTAATGCAAATTTGTATTTCAAAAATGGAGAGAGAGTTTATATTCTAGGGTATCTTAAGCCCTGAGAAATGCTGTAACTCACATGGAGAAGCAAATTTCTCAACGAATTCTAAAGAACTAGGTCTGATTGCTTTTTCTAGCAGGTGTGACAGCCAATCATTTCAATCAAGGGATGGCACAGAACATTTTTATTCACTTTACAGGCTGTAGAAACCAAATACATTTCTAGAAAATAAATGAGAAATATAGGGGTAAAGGTACAGTACCTCATAAATGATACCCTAAAAAAGAACAGAGTGAAAAGGACTTAAACAAATTAGTGAGGTCTATTTCACTTATTTTATAACTATGGAATGAAACTGAATTATGAGTAAGAAATCAGGACAAGATTAAGAGATATGAATTAAAGATAGCATATGACTTGAATGTTACAACACTGAAACAATCAGTCAAACCAACCTACTCATATTTACTTTTGCACACCGTTTGTCCATAAACTAAGGTTAAATAAAAATAAAACTAGTAATTACATGTGGGATATTTTATTATTTGATAACCACTCCTTTATGGAAGAAAAATAATCTGTTTGCTACCAAGGACAAAATTTTGAACCTTGCTTTGGGTACACGATTTTGTACCTGCATATGCATCTGCTGGCAGCACACATGTAGCGATGCACCACAGTTTACCTCTGTGTGGAGAGCAATATGGTGGAGGGCTCAAGACTTAGCACATGGAAAGGACCTAAATATTGATATGAAAATTGCCTGAGTACAAAAGGGAAATGAATATTTAGAAGTGAAAACTCTGTGGGTATCTTGAATCAATATATAAAAAACTAATGGGAATGCAAACTCAGTACAGTCACAATTACATGAGTCCACAGAACTCCATAAACATCCACAATGGGATCCAAGCCCAGATCCAAACTTCCTCCAACTTTTTAATAACATTTAACATGACAGTTTCCTGTTGATGCTAAGAACACAAAATATCTTAGCATAAAGTATTTTTTCAGCAAGTGGAAGCTCAGATTCTTTTTTTTGGTATCATTATACAGTTACATGAGCGACATTATGGTTACTAGACTCCCCTCATTATCAAGTCCCCACTACATACCCCATTACAGTCACTGTCCATCAGCGTAGTAAGAGGCTATAGAATCACTACTTGTCTTCTCTGTGTTATACTGCCTTCCTGGAAGCTCAGATTCTTTAGCAGAGCTTCACAAGAATTTACGATTTTAGTGGTTACCAAAAGAAGAACTACCTTTTTAGAAATAAGCTGAGATAACTGGATTTTCCCCTCATCTTTTCTCACTGCAGAGATCTCAACAAGAATAAATGGAAAAAGCAATTACAGTCTTAGCCTCCACAAATGGGTTGATTTAATTGCATCCAATGCTTACGTGGTCATAGCACCAGTTGTAAGAACTCTGATAGGACAATCTACCAAAAGACAGTTATTTTCAAGTGTGTGAAAATTATTTATTCATGTTGCAAAAATGATTCATAATAGGAGTTTCTTTATGGTGCATGATCTCTGGCCTTTTGAGTAAGTAACAGTTGGAACATTTTCGAATAAGCAACTTGTCCAGAAACATACCCATTACATAAAACTATATTTACCTGTATAATAGGTGCATTAAGAAGATGAACTATCTTAGACTTGAAATTCTAGACTTCAGAGTTCATGTATTAAAAACAATAATCGGGATTGCAGCAAAAATAACCATGAGTAGGCACTCCAAATAGAAGCCTGTTCAATGTGAACACATTTACAATTCCCAAGAACACCTCTTCTATACTCAACTATAGCAGATTTATAGTTTGTAAAACAATTTCAAATAAGTATAAAGAGTAATGCGAGTTTATTAAAAATAGTTTGTAAGAAAAATTACTTTTTTCTTCTATTACTTAACAGTAGACCTAATTTACCCAGGACTTATATCAGCTTATAGCAACTTATACAGACAGTTACAGGAGTTAAGGGACCCACACAAAGAAGAGAATTAATTGTACTAAAACCAGGAATGAAACAGTCACCAAAAATAAAGGTTAAAGGTGGCATCGATTTAGAAATCAAGACAAAAAGTATAATACCTTAATCCCAATGTCTGCAAACATATTGATTCAAGGGATGGACCTTCTTCCTAGCACTAACTTCTAGGAAAATTACATGTACATATTTATATGGGGGGAGGGGTGTGAGAGAAAGAGGGAGGGAGAAAGAGGCTTTATTTGAATACCAAGTGGAACATAATGATGAATGAATAAGAGTGATGGCCTGGCGAGGTGCTTGGCTTTTCAGCCTGTGTTGCAAGATGGTTCCCTGAGATGACAAGGGGAGGAACAGTCTTCTGAAATGGGGAGAATAGAGTTGTTCTAAGAGAAAAGAATTAAGTAGAAAGTTACTTTGCCAAACTCTTTTCCCTTGCAGTTCTTGATTCCACTGAGAGCCAGTTGTTACTGTTACACCTGTAACTACTGTTGCAGTTAAGAGTGTGGACTCTGCAGCCAGTACATCCAGCTCCACCACTTACTCCTCTGTAACTGCAGGCAAGTTACCTAAGCCCCCATTTCCATATCAGAAGGATAGGGATAATAATGGTGCTTACCCCATAAAGGGCTGCTGTGCTGATGAAATGAGTTAACAGGTATCAAGTGCTTGAGATGGTGCCTGGCCCACATAAGCCAGTATGTTAGCCACTTGGATTGTTATTGAAGGATCGTGGCATCTAGAAACTTCCTCTATGGTTCAACACCTGGGCTTGCTCCTGCTCGAGCCATAGCCCATGCTCCAGCTCTTCCCAAAGGCTCCTCTCTTCCCCAAAACACCTCTGTTACTTAGAACAGTGCTCTGTGTCAATTTGTCATCCAGGACAACAGGCAGAAAGGGTGCTAATACCTTGGAAATATTAACTTCTCACCTGCTTAACATGCTCACTGGGATCTTCCAATGATCTAGAGGTAATACTCTCTTATTCTGTATCTCCGGGCAGATACTTACCATTCGTAACACAAGGCATCTTTCTACTCTACACACAGTCAAATGTGACTGGTCATTCAACACTAGAACTTTTTCAAGATAAGGAATGTGGAAATCAATTTCCATGGAGAATTTCAAACTGCTCAAATTTCTACCAAAGAAGTGTTCCACTTTTCCTACTAAAAAATGTAAGTGTTGTATATTCCAGCTTTCCTTCCATGAACAGTTCACGGAAGGCAATTAAAAATGGGTTCCTTTTCTGTGCCATCTTTAAAAGAAAAGCAATTCAATAGAGCAATGGCGTTAGCACTATCATTTCCCAATTTCCATTAACTTGCATAGTTTTATGACCTTTCCTTCCACCACTGTTGACAAGATGCTATATAGTACAATGCAACTGGAGTGAGCTAAAGCACTTTAAAATAAATTTAGCAGATTTGTTAGAATTTTATCATCTGTCCAAATAGCTGGAGATGTTAATGGCCCCTACAGGTGGAAAGAACAGAAGGACAATTTAAAATTACAATCTGAAGATGCTGAAAAAATCTAAGTTGACCTGTATATGTGGTGGCCACATACCCTGCTGGATACAGGCCCCTGTTATGGCCTAGCCGGTGAATGCTGCCTTACCACAGATACGAGTAAGTCACAGGACACTGAATTTTTGTACCCATGTTCTCTTTCTTGGATTCTTGACCCAGTAAAGTTGCTCATGACACTGTTATCCTCTTGCCCTTTCAGGTGTGAGACTTTAATTGCAGCACCCAGGACTTCGTTTCCACTCACTCGGCATCTTGCTCAAACAAATCAGAGAAGAAACACAATGCGCTTTGTTCTCACCTGTCCAGAACGAGGTCTGGAGCAAAGATGAGCTTGCCTGGGTGGTCGATCGAGCGCCACATCAGCCCCAACATCAGGACCTCCAGCCAGCAGCTCTCCAGGAGCCGCACTTGGTCATACAGACTGAGCTCCACAAAGCCTGAGGAAAGCAAGAGGCTGTGAGACACACCCACCCTCCTCGGCAGCAACCGATTCTGTAAAAACAGAACAGCAAGGTTTAAAAGCTAAGAACATACAAACAATATAAGGAAACAATCAATGTCTTAAAGATGTAGTTAAATGCTGACCTAAGGAAGAAAATGACAAACTCAAGATATGCAAATCACAATTTCCAGCCTTGGACTCCTTCTAGAGACTAATATACATCACTTAAAATTTATAAAGGACTGTTACCTGGACTTACACAGTTCTCCAGACAGATGCTAGGGAAGAATAGAAAGCTGGATCAGATATTTTGAGGTTATATCCTAATAAATCCTCTGTGCTGCCGAGAAAGTAATGCTCAGCTGCCAGCCAGAGGGGCCGCCTATTTGAGTCAGTCCATGATTGGGGCCTGGAAGAGTGGGGCAATGGGATGGTTGAGAAAACAGTGCCAGCCCCTGCAGAAGGAAGTCAAGGCTTCAACTGAAAGGATTCCTCTGATTGCTTACAATTTCCCATGCAGTTTTAGAATCATTTTTCGGAGTCTTGAGGCTATTCTGTCTTGAGGCTATTCTATACTGAAGAGCAAATGTAACAACTGAGGCAAGCCCCAAGAGACTGATAGCCTGATAGCATGTGTTGGTCAAAGAACTGGGGAAAAAAATGGGTAATTTCTAAGGAGGGAAGTATTTCAAAAGCAAAGCAGAGATCACTGGTGCTTCCTCCACAAGCCATGATAAAAGGAGAAGGCAGCATAATATAAATATAGTAACCAAATGTACGGCACAATGTGTGCTTGGACTTGATGCAATGAACTTCGGTTAAAATCTCAGCTCAGCCTCATTTTTGCTAGTCACTTAAACTCCTTCAAGGGCTTTGTCTCTTTTTTTTTTTTAGAAGAGTGTCAGATTTTTATTAATATTAAATATAGTAATGAACTGAGAATTTTATTTGAAGACATATCATCAAAAGTGAAATCTAATTATGCATATATCATTTCAGCCTATTATAATCATAAATGTGAAAGTCTTAAAGTTTAAACTTTATAAAGTTTTCCAAGTCTGGAAGTTTAAACATAAAATGTTATTATTAAAATGACATCTGTTTTAAATTTTTTGATAACAGCAAATTTTCTTTTATTTTTCTATTTTATTAATATACAATCACATGAGCAACACTAGTTACTAGATTCCCCCCATTATCAAGTCCCCACCACATACCCCACTACAGTCACTGTCCATCAGTGTAGTAAGATGCTATAGAGTCACTACTTGTCTTCTCTGTGCTATACTGCCTTCCCCGTGCTCTGCGCCCCCGCCTACGTTACATGTGCTAATTATAATGCCCCTTATTCCCCTTATCTAGGGCTGTTTCTTACAGGAAAAACAAGGGTAATGATGGCTACCTCTGAGAGTTTCCTACAGGTAGGATCTCCTTCTACAGATCTCATTTCACAGATGAGGAAATGTGGCTCAGAGAGTACATATGGTTCAAATCTTTTAACAATTACAATGCAAATCTGCAAAGGAGAATTTAATGGAGTAAGGAATGGAAAGATAGATATCATATTCAAAGTCATATCCTATGCTCAGCTCAGGTTCCTAATGTGTACATATTCCAATTTCACCCACAGTTACAGAAAATAAGCCTACTGAAGGGAGAACAAGCTTTTTATGCTTGGAGATATTCAACAAGATCAAAGCTAGATGATACTTTAATTTTTTTGTTTGGAAAATGACTATTACCAGCTGAGAGAGAAAAGAAAAATCACACCTTTAGGCTATGTCTAAATTTTCTGAAACTTTTTCAAAATATCAGGCTTGAAGAGGATCTAAAGCAGCTTAAAAGTTCCGTTTGATATGCAGAAAGAAGCTACAGGACTTTCAGCAAAAATTAGTTTCACTAGCACTCTCCATGTAGGGTCCTGAAAAATAGTGATCGGGATACATGTAGAGCAAAAGCTAGAGAAAAGTGCATCAGTATCAGAGCAGAGAAAGTAATATAATTCTGGCAAAGGGCAAGATGCTAGACTAGCAAAACAAAACTGGAGAAAAGAAAATCCTCAGGAAGAGCAGAAGGAATGGGTTCCAATCAACTAATGACCCCAAGAGATACTATCACCCTAGGGCTGGCTTTCCATATCTTTACCCCAACTTCTCTTCACACAGCTTCCTACCCTCTTCTAACCTTTATACTTTGTCTAATGCAGGTGCTGGCTTCAGGCCATGGGAACTGCCCCTAGTGGCTTGAAGAGACCTCATTTCTTAGATGACTATAAGGTGTGCATGGAGAGGCCTTTCAGGGGCATGGTAGGGTGCTGCCATGCCGTTACAATTCTCGATTCATTCTTTCACAGAAACACCGATTCAAATGACAACTAGATGGTAACTTTAACACAATGCAGTACTTGGGGTATAAATCACAAACTGGCCTGAGAAAGTGAAAACATTTTAGGATGGAAAATGCAGGTTCTAAATAACAACTCATAAATATCCAAACCCACTTTTAACTTGAGGACATTCTGAGTTTATTGATGATACATGTTACTTCAAGTGTTGATTGATTCTATTTGTGCATATATATCCACTTATGTACATAATACCAATTCATTCTCTACTGAAACAATATTTTACAAATTCCCGGTTAGCATCTGACAAACTTCTCACTTCATACTGGTCATACTGCACCCACCCCACCCTCACCTGGTCACACCTCTGCTCTCAAGCCAAGAGACAGGTCAGTGTGGAGTCCAGATTCCTTCCTTTTAGACCATGTTGCAGGTGCCAGTACCCTCGAATTTCCTGCCCACCTGGCCCCAAGCCCCCTCCCACAGCCTCAGTGGATCTTTTCCCTGGTCCAACCTCCTAGACTTCATGCAGGCATGAGAAGTAATTAACAGGCTACTGTCTAAAAGAGACTTGGACATGTAGGATGGGGTGTGTGCCAGGTGGTGTGGGATGATTCCCAGGGTGGGAAAAGAAGAAAGTCAGGAATAGAAGGGGGTTTGATCATACACAACTCTTTCTGTCCTGCCATCTCTGGTACACAACTCAGAGGAGTTCAAGAATTCCAGACTGGAGCCAGGCCTTCCAGGACACATCAAAGGCATAAATGTCAAGGTAGGAAGACAGCGCTTACAAATCAAGCCGTCAAACTGTTAAATATCAGACATTTGTTTGTGGATCTCCAATTTGTACCGATGCCCAGTAAATGCTACGGTCAGGCCTTTCTACCATAAATGGAAAGCTAAGACCCAGAGAGCCCCACCTGGAATTTTCTTGGCCCAGCCGATCATGTGCACCAGCTCCTTGTCGGCCAGCTTGGTCAGAGACAACATCATGGTGGCCTCCGTGAAGGGCGCGCTGGGGCGGCTCACGAGCACGTGCGGTGGCTCCGCCTCCAGCAGTGTGAGCACCAGCTGCTCGGGGCTCAGGGCGCTCAGCAGCAGCTCCTTCACTCGGCTCGCAGGCCCACCGTTTTTCTTGGCTTTGTTCAGGCAGTGCAGCTGTTCATCAGAATTTCTCTGCCTTCGGACCACGCGGTACCCATATCTTTCTCTCCGGGAGCCTAAATTGGACAGCAGGTAACAGAGCTTTCTCCTCCCTCCCCCACCCAACATTTAAGTTCTCTGAGTCCACAGGGTGGAAATGAAGCAATGACATCACTGTAAGACGTGAGTCTATTCTCAGAATGTCTTAGAACAGAAACCTGACTCATTTTCTGCAGCCTGTGGGGCATGTACCAAAGATTATTACATTTGTGACTATTAGCAAAATCAGTAACATGACTTTTTAAGGACAATAGCCCAAATTATCTTAAGGTCTCCATTTCAAGATCATTCATGAATACTAAATCCATTTATCTCTTAAAGAGTGCTGACATACCTCAGTTTTCAAACCATGAAACTAGGTCTGGAAGAAGATACAGGAAAGTTAGGAACTAAACATTGATATTTCCAAACAGTTGTCAAATAATACACTTTTCTAATACATTCTTAAAATGTTGACATGCATGTATGTGTGTGTATATATATATATATTCTTTTTAACACAGATAAGTATATTTTAAATAATTACTGAAAAATATATGGAAGCGCAAACACTTTGTCATAAATTTGTGGTTTTTAAAAAATTATTTTATAGTTTTTCCATATTTCATACACAAAATTAGGATCATAGTGAACATATTTTATAACCTTTTTCTCTTTTCGTTAAAAATGTGTCATTTTACAACAATTTAAAAATCTGCATAGCATTCTATGAGATTAGCATCACTTATTTAAAGGGTCCCTGTGGGAGAGACGAGCTGGGGTAGATGAGTCCCTGAATGATCCCTGAGTATTATTTGGGAGGAGCCTCTCTCACTCTCCTTTGCCACCTTCTTCACCTTCTCCATTCCCTCACTCCCTGAGGACAGGAGCCACCCTCCTCTCATCTTTTGCCCTGTTTATAAGAGGTTCTCTACAATTAATTTCTTAGGCCTACTTAACATATGTATTTACATAGTTCTTAACTCTCTGATGACTCCCTCTCATTTTCAGAATCCCCAGGACTCAGTCTGAGCAAAGAAAGTGACAGAGAGAGCTGAATTTTACAAGGTGAGAGGGCACAGCCCCTCCTCCAGACCCCATAGCCTTTTTCCACTTTCCCCCAGTCCTGGCTCCCTAGGTGCAGAGGTTGAAGGTGGGAAGCCAGGGCAACCAGTGATGTCAGGAAACCTTAACACCCTCTTCCTCCACTAATACACACCCTTCACCACTCCCAGCTCTGGTTGCTGAAAGGCTTGGGGGTAAGGAATAAGGGAAAGGGATTGTTTGGTTTGGGGTTTCTTTCCCATGTCCCTTTTCTTTCAACCTCCCTCTAAACCCCCATTGTAATGGCATCACTTAAGTGGAACACTATACCTAACCCAGAGACTCATTCCAGCCCTGGAGTCATCCAGACCCTCTGGCACCCGTTCCTACAGAGTGGTCGTACTGGGACTCAGGTGGAGCAAGGGGATTTGGGGGTTCAGGCTGTGGGGAAGCCAGAGTCCTCTATTCCAACCCTCTTCCCCCTCAACATTGGGACAGTCCAACGCTTTTCATACCAAAAAGGAAAACTTGTTATTTTAGAAAAAATAAAATAAAATGAATAAAGTGTTCCCTGTTGATAGAAATCTAGGATGATTCTAATTTTTTTGCTAGTATACATAGTACAATGAAAATACATCTTTGTACATGTATCCAATTGTTTCCTGATAATAAATTCAAAGAAATCAAATTGCTGAACCAAGGCATATACACATTTAAAATTTTGATACACATTGATAAATTACCCTCTAAAAATGCATAATCTACACAATACTATAAGAGGCTACCTATTTTCTCATTAAACACTATGGGGTATTAAAAATCATTTTTAATCTTTGTTCATGTGACAAGTGACTGAACAATCTCATTTTACTTTGTATTTTTTAATTGCAAGCAAAATTGACTAATATGGTTCTCCTTTGTATTTCTTTTATTTGTATGTTGCCTATTTTTCCCCTTTTCCCTCTAATAACCCACAAAGACTCTTTATGTAGTAATGACAGATAATTTTTGTTATATACAATATTTGTCTTGTTTGCTTTTAACTGCTCATGGTGCCTTCTGCCATAAGAAGATTTAGTACATAGTCAAAGCTGTCTTTTTGTTTCATATCAAAATTATACAAATATTCTCCTATATCTTCTTTAAGTACCTTTGTAGTCCAAATCTATTGGGAATTTTAGTATGTTTGTATAATGTTATTTGATATTTCATATTATGTTTTTCCATACAGATATACAATTTGGCCAATACTATTTGTTGAATAAGGTTTTTCCATTGATTTTTATAAAATTCTTTGTCACTTAATAAACAATTGTATGTAAAAGTATCTCCTTCCAGATTTTCTACTTTGTTTTATGGACCTATTTTCCTATTCCTATGCTGGTACCAAAATGTTACAGCTACTGTAGGTTTATGGACCAGAATACAAGGGGATTATATCTTTAAGGTGGTGAAGGTGGAAAGAAATATTCAATTTAGAATTATATTCCTAGCTAAACTATCATTCAAGAGTGAGGATAAACGAAAGACATTTTCAGTTAAAGACTGAGAGATAAATCACTCAGCCCATTTGAAATAACAACTGAGGTTTTGGGGATAAAGAAAAATGAACTGAAAGGAAGCAATTGAAATTCAAGAAGCAATGGTAAGAAAATAAACTGTTCTGTTTTAAAGAAACTAGAAATAAACTGGTAGACATGAGAGTAAATCTAAAAAACATTGAATAGGTAAAATAATAATTTTTGGAATTACAGAAACAAGGTAGAATCAAAATACCAGACAATAATATTTAAAATGAGAGAAGAATAATTTCGGTGAGAACCTTCCAAGATTCTTTGGGAAGATAAATATATAATAAAGAGAGTGGCTTAAATTCTCAAATCAAGCAAGAATGCATGCTAAAATAGAAATGCTGTCATTAAAAGAACTGAAACAGAATATATGACTCCGAAACTAGCAGAAGAGGAAAAACCAGGAAATGTGATCAACTCCAAACAGGAAAAAAAGTCAAAGTTTTAAATAGTTACAAAGAGAGAAATTGCAACCAACCACAGGCAAAATATTGGCTAGCAGAAAAATAAGAAAAGTACAGACAGAGCTGACATGAGTATACATAAACAAGAAACTATGTACAGACAAATGAATCAAAAGTCAGCCAGGTGGAGAAAGCAGGGTGTAGGCAACATTATCAGTTGTTATACTAATGTGCTTATCTTGCTTTGTTTTTTCACATAAAGTTTTTTTTTGTATCATTAATATACACTAACATGAGCAACACTGATATACGATTTTTTCATATACATATATACATATGTACACACACATACATAGAACAAAATCTATGCTCTATATGTTTTCAAAGTTCTGTCATGTTTCTGACTCCTCCATATATTTTTTTCTACTTCTAGAAATCTAATGAAGGGACAGGCTTGAGTCTTCCCTGTAGCTACCCAAGAACCCACAAGATATTCTACTTTCTTGTCACAGCTTTAACTCTAAACTAGAACTTCATCCTTAGACTATTCAAGGTCCCAAGCAGATGGCCATCCAGTCCCCTTTTGAGCACTCCAGTGGCTAGAGTACCCTAATATATGCAGCGGCCTATTCTGCTGTCATACCACTTGAATTATAGGAAGTTCTTTCCTATATTGGGTCAAAGTCTGCCTCTTATAACTTGTTCGTCTTTACCTCAGCTCTGTCCTCTGAAGCTGCAGGGAGTAAGTCAATGCCCTCTGCAATGTGACAGCATGCAAATACTTGAAGGTAATTACCAAGTCCTAAATCTCCTCTCACCTTGGCTACATGTCCCCAGTTCCTCAAACTATCCTCAAAAGCTTGACATAGCTTTCAGCATGTCCCACATACAATAAAAGGGGAAGTGAACGCTCACCACACTTCACCATTCCAACCTCATAGCACTTTCGAAGTCGGCAAGCCTGGCAGCTTTTGCGCCGGTTCTTATCTATTGTACACTGATTGGTAGCTGGACAAATATAATCATTATGCCCTACAGCAGAGAAAAAAAAAAGGAAGGTTATTATTACAATACTTCAGTTAAATATCTTCTTGGTCAACAACAAGGATAATGCTACCCAGCTGAAAGCAAGGGGATGTCTTCCTAATAAGATGTACAAGTATGAAGGCCAAAGTTCAGCCTCATCAGTATCTTGTTAGTGAGTAAAGGAAACCTAAGAACGTTTTAACAAATAGGTTATTCTCTGCATATTCTTAGAATTTTCCAGAGACACATTTGGAAATATTCTCCTTTGGACATGGAAAGTGAGACAGTCACCTGAAAATGATTTGCTCCAAATCACAGACCTCTTCATGAGTAGTACTTGTATATCACATCACCAAATTTAACTGCTTATATTCTTTCACATATATCCCTCTTTTGGACTTACCATATTTTTATGGGAATTCATAGTCAAACAGGACTACTAAACTAGTCAATAAGAGAATAAAGAAATTAGCAAACTAAACAAGAACAGAAAGAACTGCCAGGTGATGATGGTTGTGGTAGATTAGATAACTGCTTTCAATTCTTCACTCCCTCCCTCAACCTATGGCCTTGCAGTGTTCTAGAGCAGGCAGAGTATATACTTCACCAACTGATGTTGGGCTTGACCATAGGACTTTTTTTAGCCATTGGTATTTTAGCAAATTTGATACTTTCAACAGTTTGGCTTGGCCGCTTGGGCTCCCATAAGAAAACGCCTCTGGTAGCTGTTGGTCCAAGGAGAATGTTGAGCATGTGGTATAGATCTGAACTCCATCCAAAGACCAGAGCCAAACCCTATGAAGTAGAGCCACCCTAACCAGAGGACAGACCCATAACTAAAAAAACAATGTTCACTGTAGTAATCTATAATCTGAATATGTTTATGTAGCAATCCCTGACTAAGACAATGGTACTTCTTTTAATTCTTTTGTGTAAGGAATAGATAAGAAAATTTCCATTTCAAAAATTATTATTTCAGATGCTGGAGAATGGATTGGAGGCCTCAAAATTGAAGGAGGCCAGGAGATGAGTAAGAACCTGCTGTAGTTACTCAAACCAGAGATGAGTCTGGCTGGATCAGGTATGGGTAGGGAGATGAAGAAAGTTGCACAGATCAGAGAGAAGATTTAGGGAATAGGAATTGTAATAAAATAGATGAAATGAAAGCCAATAGGTTATTTTGGTGCTTTTATTTCTTAATTGTGTCTTTCTAAAAAGACACAGAAGTTAGAACTGTCTTAGGTCTATAGGGAAGGGAGACCTGTGACTAAAAGGAATTTTGGGGCTCTGGAGATAAACTAGTTTATGGTCTGAGCACTAGTTACACAGGGTTTGCTTTATAATAATTCTTTAAACCAGTTTAAAGAATGAATTATAGAATTCATATATACGTGAATACTGGAATAAATATATTCCTAAATTCTTTTCTCAGAGAGACTGGGAGGGAGCAGGACCACCCCGAAGGCAGGGAGCAAACCAGCACCCAGATCTTGGTTTATCACCCATGCCCTCTCTGGCACTCTTATTATTTAACAGCAGACATCTACCTTATGTTTTGTTCCCTTAGGACATCCTTCTTGAGTTCAAGGCTAAATAAGTCCCAAGGAGCAGAATATATTCCTCCAAGGGAAAAATTACTTATATAACCTGTTGGCTGTTAGAGCTTACCACTTACAGCTCAGCCTTTGCAGTGCCAAGAAACAAAGAGTTGAAGACTATGGAGCAGTAGTCAAATAGGTTTTAACTTTCAAAGGACAATGATAAAAGCTTAGTACGAATACCAAAATGGGAGTGAATGGAATGATTACTATTATATGTGGATATAAAATAAATAAAGAATGAAATTTGTGGAAATGCCATTGAGAAATGTGCCAGATACATATAAAAAACACTAATAAAACTTTTAAAGCAGTTTAATATACCTAAATAAATGGAGACAACAGGTTCTTGAAATGATGACTCTGAAAAAAATATCCCTACCAAAATAATCCTCAGGTTTAACAAAATCTCCAGTTTTCTTAACAATAAGGATGACAGCCCACTCAAAAAATGTTCCTATGGACAAATAAAAGAAAATAGCCAGAACATTTTAAAAATCGGAGATATTTATACTGGCATTATTAAAATATGTTATAAAAATATAATAGTTAAGTTAATGTGGTATTCATATAAGAATAAAGAGATAGATCAATAGAGTAGCAGAATAAAAACTGCAGATCTTCCCCAATTTACAATGGGGTAACATACTGATAAATCCACAGTAAACTGAAAATATTATAAGTAGAAAAGGCATTTAATAACTCCCATCTACTGAACCTGATAGTTCAGCGTAGCCTACCTTAAATATGCTCAGAACACTTACATTAGCCTATAATTGGGCAAAAGCACCTAATACAAGCCTATTTTACAACGAAGTGTTGAATATCTCATTTAATTTACTGAATACTGTACTAAAAAGTGAAAAACAAGGATGGTTTTTTTGGGTACAGAATATCTGTGTTTCAGTTGTTTACCCTTGTGATTGTGTGGCTGACTGGGAGCTGCCCAGCATCATGACAGAGTATTGTACCACATGTTGCTAGCCTGGGAAAAGATAAAAACTCAAAATTCAAAGTTCAGTTTCTACTGAAGGTGTATTAATTTCACACCATGGTAAAGTTGAAAGTACACTGTAGTATATATAAGAACATAATATATCATCTATATAGAGAAAAAACACCAATGAACACATGAAAAGATGCTCAAAATCAGCAGTAATCAGTGAAATGCAAATTAAAACCACAAGGAGATACAACTGTATACCTAGTAGAAGGGCAAAATTAAAAAGACTGACAATACCAAGTCTTGACAAGGATTTGAAACAACTGGAAATCTCATAGGTTGATGCTGAGAATATGAAGTGGTTCAGCCAAATTTGGAAAACAGTTTGTTAGTTTATAAAGCTGAACATACACTTACCAGACAACTAGCAATTTTACTAAGTATTTACTCAAGAGAAACAAAAATGTATTTTTACAGAGAGACATGCATGAATGTTCATAGCAGTTTCATTAAAAATAGCACAAAACTGGAAACAACCCAAATAAACTAGTACACCTGGATATTGGAATATTACCCAGCTGCAAAAAGGAATGAATTACTAATATATGCAACAAGAAAGATAAACCTTGAAAGCATCGTGATAAGAAACCATACACAGATGCTTACAGACTTTCTGATTCAATTATGACATTCTAGAAAAGGCAAAACTACAGGGACCAAAAACAATCAGTGGTTACCAGAGCCTGGGAGTTTGGGAGGAAATCAGCCTACAATGGGCAAAGGAAACTTTTTGGGGTGATGCCAGCCTCTCATATCTTAATTATGGTGGTGGTTACATGATGACATAAAACTATACAATTAAAATAGTGGAATTGTATCATATGTAAATTATGTCTCCAACTTAAGGAAGCTCCCTTTTTTAAAAAGATGAATGAAAATGGATAGATTTATTCAATAAAACACTGTGGAGAATATCAGCTATTTAAGGTAAAGGCATTTTATTCCTGTTTCATTCAATATGCCAAAAGAATTGGAATGGCCCTTTTCATTACTGCAATGTATTTATACCAAAGGGAACCAAAAATATGAAGAATCCAAAGATATAATCATTTAGGCATTAAGCAACTGGAAGAGCACTCTTTTCCTTTTGCAGATTTAGAATGGGACATTCCTTTCCCCATTCCCTGTAGTTCTTTGCCTGATGCAGTAGGAAGGAATGACAGGCGGAAAGCAGAAGACACTTATTTTTCATTGTTATCAGGTATAGTCTGAGGGTTCAAAGATATTTCAGGCAGAGACATTTGTTCCTAAAAACAAATAAAAAGGATCTCTTTTTTACGGCTGTAGATAGTTGTATTGGGTCAAAATTTCCTTAAGGGATAAAAATCTGGAACTTCAGCAGGATAGAGAATTGTCGTCGTATCAAGAGTTCAGTTCTGAATTTCAGAAATCTGAATTGTTCTTATCATATATAGCAGGAAACTGAACCTGGCCTTATAATCTACTAGGATAGTTTTATAAGCAAAAATATCTAAGCACTGAATATGTTAAAGGTACAATTGAAGTTTTGTATGTAAAAACAACAAGAAGCAAAGAATTTAGGTTTTGATATTTAATGACATATCCTTCCTTTATCTGTGTTGTTTTTCCTTTTGATAAGAAAATTAAGTTTGAAAATGGCAGAGGGCCCTCATCTACCTAACTATAAAGATCTTAGAGGAGGTGGATTTAAATGAGATTAGGATTAAAAGAGAAATACCAGGAAGAAACAACAATGTTGATATCTGAATGCAGAAGATTTAGAAGAAAAACTAGAATATCTTGATTTTGCATAATGTTTACAATTAACCAAATACTTTCATATAACCAACCTCATTTCATTTTTAGAACTCTGTGAGTATCTCCATTTCATGGAAGAGGAAAAGTTATAGAGCTGGGAGGTAAAGTCATAGAGCTACTAAGCAGAGGATCCAGGACAAATAAGAGGTCATTTATGTGGAGTGAATCTCAGGGGATCTGTGGGAAGGCGACTCTTTAACTACCAACGTTCTACCCCTCACCACCCTCTGGATTCCATGAGGAGCCGGCCTACCATCAGGACTGTTACACGTGACAGATACTAAACATAAGGCAAGGGAAAAAACAATCTTTGCAACTCCCAATGAGCACACATTTTTCTAAGCTTTATTTTCAATAGGGTGATAACTAGACATCTTCTCTCAAGGAGATGGTGATGAGTGATGGTATAGCAAGACACATTTGAGTCTAGGTAGAGATCTGCAATTAAAGGTGAAGTGCTCTTCACTTAAAACAATCCACCCCACCATCCACTCCACCCCCAAACACACACAGTCCTCTTGTTAAACTGCTCATCAAGTATGTTGTGTACCAAACAGGCCAATGGTGAAATTTCTGCCAGGTTACCTGCAAAATTGGTTGAGATCAAAAGTGGAAAACTAAAGAAGCAGCTAACAATACTCTGTACCTTGAATGCTTCTTTTGAAAAAGGCCTTACACCCTTCACATGACCAGACTCCATAGTGATATCCAGATGCGAAATCACTGCAGACTGCACAGAAGTGAGCATCCCTCCTTGAACCTGGACTAGTAACAGGGCTGGTACAACTGCTCCCATTAACCTTCCTTTTCAGTGTCTCTCTGAGGGCAAAGAAAACATTCATTGTAAAAGATCATTAAGCTGGGTTACCAAAGGGAAAGGGTTGGGAAGGGTGGGTGGGGAGGAGGGAGAAGGGGATTAGTGCTGGATAAAGGCACAGAGAAGACAAGTAATGACTCTACAGCATCTTACTATGCTGATGGACAGTAACTGCGATGGGGTGAGGGGATACTTAATAATATGGATGAATATTGAAATCACAATGTTGTTCATGTGAAACCTTCATAAGATTGTATATCAATGATACCTTAATTTAAAAAAAAGAGCATTAAGGTGAAAAGAGGGACTTCCTAGAAAAAAACCCAGCATGAACATTGCCTGGTTTATCTCTTTGCCCTCTAGGATTGATGATAAATATGTTCCAGGAAATGTTATCAAGCAAAACCTGTGTTACTGATACCAGATCTATAAAGAGTCACACTGTTGGGAATGACTGACTTTGAAAGTGGTTAGGCAAGTTTATACCCATCCATGCAGGGTTAATGAGCACTAGCAACTACAGATAATCAGTTGTACCCATCAGGACGTACATCTCTGAGTGTAGTAAGTGACCAGACCGAGTCTCACTCACAGGTATGAACCAGGGTGTGCAGAGGCCTTCTACAGTTACTAGGGTTCATCAACACTACATAGATGGGCCTAAATTCACCTAACCATTTTCAAATATCAGTCATTCCCAACAGTGCTGCTAAATAGCCCTTCAGAGTTCTCATGTAAATGATAGACAAAATATTTCACTCTACAATTTAAGATAAAGGTCTAGAATAAAAATAACTTTAAAAGGAGTAACAGGTGGACTTTAAATTATATTGAGGTGAATACTATACCCTGGCTTAGAAAGAAAGAGGAAGGGAAGAGAAAGGTGGGGTAGGGAGGTAGAAGAAAAAGGGAAAGAGAAAGGAGGAGAAAGAAGAGAAGGAGAGAGAGTGAATGCATCCCTGTCCTTAGAAAATGCTTTACAGGGAGCAAGTGCTTAGTGCTGGATAAAGGGGCAAGGGCTTCCATAGAGGAAGGGAGAGCCCATCAAGAAAGCACAGCAGGCACCAAAAAAACACCTGGTTAGTTCCTAATTTTGCTAGGGTATGTTTCTTTTGGAAGGAAAATGGTAGCGGTAACATTGATTTATAAATGAAGGTAATTATACTATGGTTTAATTAACCCAAATATGAGCAGAACTCTGATTAGAACTCATGCTCAGAAGCAAAGTATTTCTTCCTTTTAAGGCTGAATGAAAAAACATTTACTTTTAAAAAGTTACCTAGACTTTTATATTTTCTTTTGCCAATAATAAAACATTTTTAAAAAATAAGAAAAAAGTACTGTATAATATGGCTTCCTCAACATTTTATGGCAGCATGTGAAAGTAATGAATTTCAATATTCAATATGCTAGGACCTAGCACTTTGGTTGTTTTAGAAGTTTATCTCCTCTTCCCCCTTTACCACCACCTCTTCCCTCTATAGCCTTAAGTATCATTAAAAATATAACTGGATGGAAATAATGTATCATATTACCCTAAAGAATACAAATACTCTTTTTAACTTCAAGAAATTTCAACTAAAGTCTACCTTCATAAAGCTTCATAAAATATTATAATTTAAGTTCACTGTTGCAAAGCTGAAACCAACTGCTGTCTGTCTTTTCAGGCTGTACATGTCTAGTATTTAAGTTATAATACTGCCATGGTTACTTTTATCCTAGACACAATTTGTCATAAATACTAAATTGTGATTTCCCTACAAGATGAGGAGGATCTAACTTAACAGTAAAAAATTCTTTTTCAAACCAAATCACTTAATCAAGAGAAAAATGATTTAAGTTCAATATTTATGGGCTAAGAACAGTAGTCATGATAGTAAACTCTTCCCACAACACAGATCTACAAGCGGAATGTTTTAATGAGGACTAGAATATCAGCATAGATATTCTAGATTTCAGAATATCTCATGTTTTAGGTGCTCTAAGTAATCTATGTGACTAACAAAGACCTTGTACTATGAAAATTTTTCTTCTCACTAAATCATAAATTGATTTGAAAAATGCCCACAAGGTAAAATTCAGAATGAAGACTGGATTTACCTGCTGACAGGTAAGGTATGTTCTAATGATCTTGCTTCACACCAAGGACTTTTTTGAGGTTCCGCATACAGAAGTGATGACTGGCAATGGATTGCCAAAGGAGAGAGGTGTCCAGGAGTTGGCCACAACACATTTGGGCTTGTAGTCTGTTGACCAGGTCCACCTTCCAAGTTATTGGCACTGCTGGGAATACTGTAATTCATCACAGCAGGGCTATAGAAAGTCATGGCTGAATATTCACGGCGGCTCTCTACATAGGAGGAAGGTATGTATATGGCGCCATGCTCCAGGGGTAGGACAGATTGACTGCAGTTGTAGGAGGCAGGAGAGTTAAGGCTTGATGGTGAGTTTTTGATATCCATGTCTTGAATAGGTAACAGGTGAGAACAAACTCTTTGTGAGAAGAGGCACAAAGGGACATTATAATGTTCTCAGAGACTCATGGTGGGCACAATGACTGTACAGAAAAATAAAAGACATTTCTAAGAGGTACAGGCATAACTACAAAAATGTTCAAACATTTTTATTAAACACACACACTTTTATATGGGTGTAGAAATAAATCCTGAAAGATATACACGAAAATATTAACCTCAAAGAGATGGGTATGTAGGGCACGGAACTCGCATTTTTCACACTTCTTTATTGCTTTTGTGTTGCTAATCACAAGAATTTTTTTTAACCATGTGAATTTGTTATGAAATACTATTAAAATTTTTTAAACACAGGATGAAATAAAAATATATCAACAAGGTCTTTTTCTCCCTAGAACTAGATAAATTTTAAATTCTTATAGCAAAACAAACAAGGATAACCAGGAAAACCCTGACAGAGCAGGTCAACGAACAGGGCTAGTACCAGTAATAAAACACAAGGATTAAACAGACCAACATACCTGTGCCAGTTACTCAATTTACTACCTCTCAGCTTCCAACGCACCCTTCAACATATGCTGTTAAACAGATGCCTTAGTTTTTAAAGTGAGCGCAATGCTCAACTTTCTCAGTAGAGGGCAGTGCAGGGACACTGCAGGAGGAAAAGGCTTACTGTGATTGCTGCCACCAGCCGAGGTAGGCAATGCGGGTTTAAGAATAGCCAGTGGAGCTTGGCCCAGCCACAGGTCCAGAACGAACTACCCCCACAGTCTGGGCTCTCCACTGTAACCTGTCCAGACTGTGGCCCAAGGAATCAGAGGAGTCATTCCTCCCACAAACCTCAGCCCACAGGAAGTGCATGCTCTGAGGTCCTCCTGCCCTGTTGGCCCCTGGACTCCACACCACCCGCTGCTCCTCCCCCACTGACTGACTGCACCCTGGAGGATGTTCTGCTACTTGCCCAGCTGCAGCCTGGCCAAATCGGCAAACATCTCTGTGCGTTAGTGACCAAGCTACCTTTTCCAAGGATGTCTGAACCCCTTCCAAGTTTGTCTTTCCTTAGGTACTCGCACTAGGGTGCCATTTAAAATTTCCATATGTCTTATACTTAACTGCTTATCATAGTTAGTAGTTGTTTATATTAAACCTCCCCTGTTAAACCTACTATATAGTTTCTATCTCCTGATGGGACCAGACTGCTGCATAACAGAATTGAAAATCCTAAAATGGCAAATTCAAAAACTCAAAAGTTTGGGGAAATTTGGTATATGATAAAGGTGTTATCTCAATTCACTGAGAAGACACTAGACAACAGAACTGCCACTGGGAAAAGCACAGGCACAGATGCCAGAATAAACTCCAAAGTGTTCAGGGTTCCAAACATTAGAGGAGAAATGCAGAGGCAGGAGAGAGGAGAGGAGACTGCACAGGCCACGGAAGCAAACCCAAGTAGCTCCTTGTATGACATGGGCATGGGGAAAACCTTAACGATGGCTTAAAATCCAGATGCAATAAAAAAATGGCCAATAAATTCAGCATATCAAAGTCAATCTTTGCACATCATAAAACACCACAAGCAAAGCCAAAAGACAAGACATATTGGAAGAAAAATACTTTCAGTTTATATTAGAAACAAGGGACTAATTGCCCTAGTATATATGTAGAGCTCTTAAGATGAAAAAAGACCAAAAATTCATTAGAAAAATAGGCAAAATACATGAAACAGACATAACACAGAAAAAGGAAGGAAAATGGCTCTCAAAATATATAAAAGGATGCTCAACCTCATTCATAAAAATTAAAACTACCGCCAAATACCATTTCGCATGTATCATGTTTGGCAAAAATTTAAATATTTAACAACAGACTCTCTTGGCAAGGCTGTGGTGAAACAGGGACTCTCTCCTACATTGCTGGTGGGAGCGCAAAATGGCACAATGTCCATGGGTATTTAGCAATATATAGCGAAATGACCTATGCTTTTACCCTTTGGACTATGAGTCCCTAGTGATATTCCAAAAGAGAACAGAAAAGAGGATCACTTCCTACCATTGCAAGTGAATGTTACACCTGTTCCTGACTCTGAAAATTAGTAATTAAGTGAAAAGAATTAAGCCTGTACCCTGCCTTTTTAGGAGCATCTGTAATTCATCCCAAGGTTGAGGAGAAACTCTTCTTTATAAAAGAATACCACCCACCCCCCAAAAAACATATATATATGGATGGATAGATTAGATAAATAGAGGAAATCAACCAAAATGTTAACAATTACTGAATCTAGATGGCAGACACATGGACATTCATTATTCCCATCTTTCAACTCTTCTGTAAATTTTTAATTTTTCATGATAAGAAGCTTTGGAGAAAAAAAACCACAAAATAATATGAGATTAAAAATGGAAACCTTTGGGAAAAAAGGTTAGAATAATTGTAATACTATAATCTGGAAAAGGGAACAATGACTATCAATAACAAGACTGGTTGAGAGAGGTCATTAAGTAGAGAAATTTGCCTTGAAAAGTTCTTATCTTCAATATTTTCAGGTTCAGCTATCACCTACTTCCACAGGTGGACAACTTGGCTCTCTAAAGCTCCTAATTCCTTCTTCTTGACATTTTCATCTAAATGCTTACTTCATTGGTCCTCAAAACAATATACCTATGGTGGTTTAAATGTGTCCACAAATTCTTCAACACTCTTCCCTTCAAAAAGTGGATCCTAATCTCCCTCTTGAGTATGAGCTAGATTTATGACTCACTGCTAATGAATAAATTATGGCAGAAAGAATAGTATGTGACGACCACACATAAGTCATAAAAGACATTGCAGCTTCTTCCTGCCTTACTTTCCGGATCACTCTCTCCAGGGGAAATTAGGCACCATACTGTAAGGACACTCAAGCAGCCTTACAGAGGACTCCTCTCCAACGGCCAGCAAAGAACTACAGCCTCCAGCCAACAGTTATGGGAGTGAGATATTCTGGGAACAGATCTTCCAGCCTCAGACAAGCCTTCAGATGACTGCAGCCCTGGCTGGCATCTTGATTGCAACCTCATGAGAGGACACTCAAGGCAGAACCACCCACCCAAGCTGCTCCTGGACTCCTGACTCTCAGAAACTGTAATGCTTGTTATTTAAGCTGCTAAATTGATGATTACTTGTTATACAGCACTAAATAATACAGTATCAAAGTAAAATTCATCATCTCCCTCCCTCAAGCCACTCCTTATTTCCTATTTGTGTTATGACCAACCCCATCACTGTTAGCTTTGACTGCTTCCCTTCATCCAGTTACCAAGGCACACTGGTTTTTGTTCCCAAGTGTCTTTTCCCATGGTTGGTCTTTTGCCACCATCTGAACAGGCTTTCATTACTTCTTATCTGCATCTGTACCAGGCTCCTTACTACTCCTTGTCTGCATATCCATATTGATGTCAGACTGACATTCCTGAAACCCAGCTCTGATCAGCCCTCTGCTTCCCCCCAGCCTCTGTGATAAGTCATGCTCTTTTAACATTCAAGGCATTCTGCTCTGCTGCCCAACCATCGCTCCACTCTCATCTGTATCTTCCTGCAGGAAACTTGCCATATCTGTAAGGAATAGGCACAATGCATTATGAAGCGGTTGGCACCTTATGCCTGAGTACTTCTTTCACTCTCAGCACCCCTATCATTACTTAATACAAACTTAGTCCTCCTTGTTACATTAGAACTACATTGATTTCTTCTGTAAATGGTAGATAGGATGAGGCAGGAGAAGGACAATTAAATTTTAAGCTCCTTGAAGACACATACTATTTTTTACTCACCTTCCTCTACAATCCAATAAATATTATAAGGAAATAACATGAGGAAATGTGTTTACATTTAATATAAGATTTAACCCAGTCAAGGGCATTAATAAAAAATGGGAGCACCTTCATAGGGAGTACTGTATGGAGTCAGGATCTAAAGGAGTCCCAAGACACGTACCCTGGCCTCAAGGATCTACTGTGCCAGGTCAAGGAGGCAGGACAGACCAGCTGAAGCAATAAGGAACTAATACAGAAGTGCTACCACTTGTAATCAACACTGATAGGCCATGAGGGACAGGAGAGGGAATGGTAGCTAGAAAATATAGGCTCAAGAAAGTTTTTATTTTCAGTATCTATGAGCATTTGTTAATCATAATAGGATTTCATATTTCAATTACTTAGATTCCTGTGGGGAAAATTGAAGTTCCCATGGCCAGGATCCTCACCTGAACCTAAACTACTTGATGATGTAACTAGCCTGCTGCTAGGCTACTGCTTCCACACCCATAGGCAATAAGCTATCACTGACTGAATCACTATATAAAGAGCTCTGCCCAGTGCTTTGGATGGAGGCAGAGATGAAGGAGGATTACAGGCCTCCAGACTGTTGGATGCAGACATGATTCCAGTGCTTGACCTATCACCAGGAGAACAAGCTGGGTAATAAACCCTTTCACCCCAAGAACATTCCACTGTCATTCCTGGGTCTCACTGAAACCATAGTGAACTTACCCAGGGCTGAAACCTGGCAAGATTGGCAAGATAATTCCCAATCAATACATATAATCCCTGATTCCTAATTTAAATATGCAGGATAAAGCAAACAGTGCTGACCACTGTCAAAACCAGCAGTTTCCAAAGTTTTTTTAAGTTGTTGTAAAATACATGTAACTTAGTTTACCATGTTAACTATTTCTATGTGTGCAGTTCGGTCGTGTTAAACACATTCACTCTGTTGTGCAACCAGTCTCCAGAACTCTTTTCATCTTGCAAAATGAACTCTATGCCTGTTAAACTATAGCCCCCATTCTTTCCTCCCCCAGCCCCTGGCAACCACCATTCTACTTTCTGTCTTGATGGACTTGACTACTTAGTACCTCATATAAGTGGAGCCATACAGTATTTGTCTTCCTGTGACTAGCTAACTTGTCTTCTGTGTCTTAGCATAATGTCCTACTGTTTATCCATGTTGTTGCATGTGTCAATGTCCTTCCTTTTTAAAGGCTATATAATATTCCATTGTATTTTCATTTATCAAGGAAAGGTCTTAAACAGAGATGCTTGAAAAT